CAATATATGGCAGAAAAACATTCTAAACTATTAACCACCCTTTGTGTTTTTGGGACACCATAGTTAGGTTATAAATACGTAAGTAAATGTTGCTGCAAATTAACATAAGGGATGAATTACTCCCCCCCCTCTCGTGTTAATTTTCATTCCCCTAGAGCTACAACGACACAGGAAATTGTAATTAAAGTTAATTTTTATCCTCATTTTATAGAGATGGGGCTGAATCAAATCCCCCTGAAAATCATAGTTTTCAATTCTCGGCCACAGTCCCCCTTGTATTTGCATCTATAACGCTGTACCCCTAAAAGTTTTGGATGATAAGAATGAATGAAATATTTTAGTGTTTAATTTCAAGAACTGATATTTTGTGGGAAGTGGCTTACGGATTTCTCTTATGAAACAATGACGAAAATGGTCAGCATCACTTTTTTAATTAAAGGTTAAATTTTGTCAGAAATAAAAAAAAAATTCCTGTTGTAAAGCCAACATACCCACTGTGTTCTCATATATTCCATATATCGATATAGGAAATATCTAATTTATACAGTACAGCTTGGACTTGGAAACCCAGCTTTTCCCTCTTTAAACGTTAATCAACTTAATTTAGAAATTTTAAATCAAACTAAGAATATTTCCAACAAGTTCACCAATCAAAAGTTCAGGCAAATTGAGATTTCTACTTTTTATATACGTTGGCAGGCGATAATATCATTAAAATGAAAACATCTTTTATTTAAGTTTTAATTGTTAATAAGTAATTAAAGAGAAGCTTTCTTAATTGACCGCTTCTCTTTGTTTCCATGCTTTTGTTTATCCATGCTGTTTAAAAGCTTGATATATAAATCAAGATTGAATTAGAAAGTCGTCTTTACTATATTGATTAAACCGTAAATGGATGTAATCTAAAGATATAAAGTTGTAATCTCTGTTGTCTGTCTGCCTGTTTGTTTGTTAGTCCGATCATAAGTTCATAATTCAGAAACATTTTGACCGATTTGCCTCAAATTTTGATTGGGGAACTCGGGAGAACCACAGGAATGTTCTTGGCTTTGTTTTGAGATTCCAAGTTGAGTGGATCGACTTCTATTTGGAAAAATAGATAAAATTATAAGTTACGACTAAGTGCAGGTAAACGGTGGGATTACCTATGAGTACCTTGGGCAACGCTGGGTGGGTTCCTAAGCTAGTAGTATACAAGTACTCAGCAAAACATTTTAAATCATTGAACACTCATTATTATTTGTAATAATAATACTGATAACATTTCATTTCACAATTTTCAAAAGATTCTAATTCAGAGTGTTTTTAAAGATAGAGTTAAACAAAGATTTGAATATACCATGTGATATTAAAAGTTTGAAAGAGTTGAACTTTTTTCATATCCTTTCAAAACTTCCTTGTCTATTCAAATTGTGCATAAAATTGTTTTTAATATTTCAAAGCTTCACATTTCTATAATGTTGCAGAAACAAATTCAACATTTCCAAAACAATTTTTCAATTAAAAAAAGAAAATTGTGAATAAAATCGAAATCAAAATTTTTACATTTATGTATTTCAATTTTATAAATTTACAAGTGATATTAAAATTAACATACATTTTACAATTATGATTATGTTTTATATCTATTATATTTTACACACATAAGTATTTACAATATTATTATCATATATTAGTTAGTTTAATTTGATTGCAGGTACGGGGAATTGGTTCAATAAAGTTTTTACGCTTCTAATGCGTATATTAAAGGGAATGTATACGTAATCTTATTTAACCCTCTATCACAAGTCACAAGCCCTTTAAATTTTCTTCTGAAAAAAACTGCTGGTCTAGAGATATATTCGCTTTTTCCTATCTGAACAATTCTGTTTCTTTATTAAATTTTATCAAGTTATAAATTAATTACCGTAAATTATTTTCATGTTTTTAACATAGTTTAGTTTTAGTTTTAGTTTAGTTTTAGTTTTAGTTTGTCTGTATAGTTGTTATTCGTAATATTTGTAATATTTGTAATATTTGTAATATTTGTAATATTTGTAATATCTGTAATATTTGTAATATTTGTAATATTTGTAATATTTGTAATATTTGTAATATTTGTAATATTTGTAATATTTGTAAACCTGTAACCTTGTAACCCTGTAAACTTGAAACCCTGTAAATTTGTAACCCTGTAAACCTGTACATCGTCAATCACATTTTGTTGGGTGTAAATTCGAATTTTTAAAGGATTATGGTAAAAATCAGATAAATAACACACAGGTTTAAAGGAGGGGCGGGGATTTTAAAATTTTTAACTTACACTTTTGATAAAATTAATTCGAAATTTATAATGATTTCACATATTTTGTTGAATATTCTTGGAATCTTATTTTCATGGTTCTCTCAAAATAACTGAAAAAAATTCGTTGCTCGTATTTTTCTGTTCGGGAATACTTTCTGAAAAGAAACGAGGACCTGCATTAAATGACATAACTAAAGCAAAATGTATTCATATGTTCTTGTACATTTAAAAAAGGTAATATTTCTATATCAAAGAATATGACCCCCTCTAATTACAAGCTTAAAGAGAAAAATTAAAAGTAAGCTCTTAATTTAAAAACGTAAATGGAAAATGAAATAAACCATGTTAATTCATTAAAAATTATTTTACATGACATTAAATCGGATAATATATTAAAAACTATGTTTATTTAGTTTGGGAAGTATCTGACCCTGCAACTTTTTTTTCAAACAACCTGCAAAAGAAAATCTTCGGACTCTATTATACGAAATGTTTTAACATTGATTTAAATTCAACCTTCTTTCCCTTTAATTCTGGTTACCACTGTATTTATTATTATTGAGGTTTGGTTTATGATGTATTTGGACTTTGTAGAGTTTACTATAGGATGTATTTCCATTTTCTATTTATATACTTTTAGATAATCAAGATGAATACTGTTTCAAACTTTTTCTTCTTTATGTTTAGGAATCCATTCTTGGTCCAGAACACTGGGCAGGTTCCTGCAACAAAATTAAATTATTGTTTCTAAAAAATATTTTTTTTAAAGAATTCATGCTTCATAGTTTAATTTTCTTGTAATGTATTCCTGTATTTCTGTACTCATTTACTCCAGTGCTTCTGCACTTCTGTATTCATGTAATCCATTACTCCTGTACTTATGTACTTATGTACTCATGTACTCATGTACTCCTTTATCACTGTACCCCTGTACTCCTAAACTCCTATACTTTTGTACTACTGTATACTTTTTTACTCGTGTACTTTGGTACACGTGTACTTTTGTACTCGTGTACTTTTAAACTTGTGTACTTTTGTATTCGTGTACTTTTTTACTCGTATACTTTTGTATTAGTGTATTGTTGTACTCTTGTACTTTTGTCCTCGTGTACTTTTGTACTCGTGTAATTTTGTACTTTTGTACTTTTGTACTCGTGTAATTTTGTACTTTTGTACTTGTGTACCTTTGTTATCGTGTACTTTTGTACTTTTGTAGTCGTGAACTTTGGTACTTTTGTACTCGTGTACTTCTGTTCTTTGGTACTTCTGTTCTTTGGTACTTTTGTTCTCCGGTACTTCTGTTCTCCGGTACTTCTGTACTCTTGCACTTCCACACTTTTGTACTTCTGTACTCCCGTACTTCTGTATTCCGGAACTTCTGTACTCCGGTACATCCGACTGAGCTCTTAACCGAGCCAGTGAATCATATATGTATCCTACTGTTGTACCTACCCCGAATACTGTTCTGTACTATTGTACCTACCCCGAATACTGTTCTGTACTATTGTACCTACCCTGAATACTGTTCTGTACTATTGTACCTACCCTGAATACTGTACCTACCCTGAATACTGTTCTGTACTATTGTACCTACCCTCAATACTGCTCTGTACTATTGTACCTACCCCGAATACTGTTCTGTATTATTGTACCTACCCTAAATATTGTTGTGTACTATTGTACCTACCCTGCATACTGTTCTGTACTATTGTACCTACCCTGAATACTGTTCTGTACTATTGTACCTACCATGAGTACTGTTCTGTACTATTGTAACTACCATGAGTACTGTTCTGTACAATTGTACCTACCCTGAATACTTTCTGTACTACCTACCGTGAATATTGTTGTGTACTATCGTACTTACCCTGAATACTGTTGTGTACTATTGTACCTACCCTGAATACTGTTCTGTACTATTGTACCTACCCTGAATACTGTTCTGTACTATTGNAGGTTATACTGTACAGTATATATTGTACAGGTTATACTGTACAGTATATATTGTACAGGTTATACTGTACAGTATATATTGTACAGATTATACTATACAGTATATGTTGTACAGATTATACTATACGGTATATACTGTACTATTGTATAATCTGTACAGTATATATTGTACAGATTATACAATAAAGTATATATTGTGCAGGTTATACTGTACAGTTTATATTGCACAGGTTATACTGTACAGTATATATTGTACAGATTTTACTATACAGTATATATTGTACAGATTTTACTATACAGTATATATTGTCCAGATTATACTGTACAGTATATATTGTACATGTTATACTGTACAGTATATATTGCACAGGTTATACTGTATAGTATTTATTGTACAGGTTATTCTGTACATTTTATATTGTACAGGTTATACTGTACAGTATATATTGTGCAAGTTAGGCTGTACAGTTTATATTGTTCAGGTTATACTGTACAGGTTATAATACTGTACAGGTTATACTGTACAGTATATATTTTACAGGTTATACTGTACAGTATTTATTGTACAGGTTAGACTGTACAGTATATATTGTACAGGTTAGACTGTACAGTATATATTGTACAGGTTATACTGTACAGTATATATTGTACAGATTATACTGTACAGTTTATATTGCACTGGTTATTCTGAACAGTTTATATTGTACAGGTTATACTGTACAGTGTATTTTGTACAATATATACTGTACAGTATATATTATACAGGTTATACTGTACAGTATATTTTGTACTGTTTACAGTCTATTTACCTTAACAGTTTCCGACTGTGCTTGAAATGTATGAACACCAATGATCTGCTGAAACCTTATCAAATAATTTCATCTAATAATTTCTCTAATAATTTCTCTCATAATTTCTCTTATGATAGAATCCATCTAATGGTGATAATGTGGAAGACGATGCCTGGCCGCTTTAAACAAGTTCCACAAGATTCAACAGAATGAGATAGAACAGATACGGGGCATAGTACCCTCTTGTAATAAGTTATAAGAAATATATATACTGGAAGTTATTTATGCGTTTTTATTAGAGTCAGGCTCACGTCCTTTATGATAATACGAATTAGAATATATCTAATAAAAATTTTGGAAGAAAGATCTTTGAAATGAAAACACCAAATAACATTTCAACTTTTCAAACTATGCCTAGAAAATATTTGAAAACAAAATACTGTTTAAAATTCAAGACTATTTTCCCAGTGGACTTTCTCGTATTTAAGACTTATTCTAAGAATTTTTTGGTGATTGAAATTAGAACTATATTTCTACCTATTAAGATTGAAATTAGAACTATATTTCTACTAATTAAGATTGAAATTAGAACTATATTTCTACCTATTAAGATTGAAATTAGAACTATATTTCTACCTATTAAGACTGATTATTATAAAAGCATTTTCCAGTTTAGCCAAAGTTGCTTCTTCAGTTGAAACATCGTGGATAAAAAACCTAAAAAGAAGAAAATAAAATAAAGATATAAAGATTATAAAACTACAATTTAATAATTTGACCCTCTAAGTAGTAGTAACAAGGATTCGAATAAAAAATGTAAAAAAAACCTTTTCAAAAGTGAGTGTTATAAAATTAAACTCAAGTTAAAGACTAATTTTGGGACACCCTGTAATAAAAACACGATATAAAGATTTGTTGGAAATTTCAGAGTTGCGGATTTTCATGTATAAAAAATAAGTTTTTGCTATTTCCCCAGTGTACAGTGTACACTTTTAATTGTGTACTGTACGCTTTGCAGTGTGTATGGTACATACCTATCCAGTGAGAGAGGTTGTTTGTAAACAATGTACTTGAGTGCAACATCAGTATTCTTTACCGTACTACAGGGAGCTGGCCAGGAGTCGGTGATGCTTGATTTCTAGAAGAAAACAAGGCTGAAAAGAGGTTTTATCCAGAATTTGATATAAATAGGACAGTTCCCAATTATTCTAAGACAGGACAGTTACAATGTACAGTGTACAATGTGCAGTGTGCATGCCCTGTTCTAATGTGAGTAGAATCAAGGATAGGGGTAATTCTGGAACCGAATTTATTGAATTTTAGCTGAACTACCTACTGCCTACTGTTAAAATTTGAATCACCGATTTAAATTTAAAGATTAAGAAAGTAGTTGAACCGGCGGTAAGCAGTTCAAATTCATTAAATTCGGTTCCATTTTCTTTTCACTAACTTGTAATAGAACCAGTTTTTGATGTGTCCCAATACACGTGACTTCTAATTGTAAACCAACCCCTCCTTACATCTTCTCTCATTTCCCTTTACTACATTGGTTCTACATAATATCGTTAAGTTACTTTATACAATATATTTTTAAAATCTAAAAAAAATGATCTGGCTGAGACCAAAAAAAAGAGAGATATCAACATGAAAATATTAAAAAAGATTCAATAAGATAAGTTCTTGATTGAATTCGTAAAAACAAGATTAAACAAGATGAATAGATTAATTCAATATTAAAGAAAATATATTTAATTAAAGTAGAGATTATACGATTTTAAATAACATTAATTTTATTTTAGTGGAAAATATGCTAAAACACACACGGTTTTTGTTATTTTTAAACCTTTTTTTTAAATTGAGTTTCAAATAGCCAATAACATTTATTTGTAAATGCACCATAAAAACAATAATCCGCAAAATTTTGAATTGATGCTTTTATGATGTATTATAGTTAGAGAAAAAATGGTGGTTTCTAGAGCTAAATTGAAATGTTACAATTATTTGAAGACAGAGTCTAGTAAAATGGATTTATAAGATTGAGAAGATCAAGAAAATATTTCAGAGAAATTTCTTCGTTTCTATATTTCCAGAATAGAGTTCTTATCTGATAGAGATATTGGAAAATTACATTGTCATCTTGTTAAATCTCATCGGAAATCTTTAAATTCAATTTTATTTTTATTTTAAGTATATTTAGACAAAAATTAATAACATAGAATAATTAAAGTATAATTATTTACTCTATAGAAGTTTAGACATGATATAAAGCTTGATAAAATTGTTATGATAGTTTAATGCTATTGACAATATTCCAAAAACCTTTCGTAAATCGGTCTTATGACGAATCTGAGCTCGCTTAAAATCATTTGAGAGGGACTTAGGATCCTCACTCCCCAGTCCTTTTTTAAATCACAATGTATTATGCTTAAAAAAATTTTAAAAAACATCCTGCACTTAGATCCAGACTTATATTTTTACAACTGAGTCAACTTTGAAGTGTCGCCTTGGCCTTTAACTCACTTACTAATACTTTTGTGTACATTACATATACATATTCATTTCTAAACAATAACCCAATTGTTTTAACTATAGATATTTTTTAGAAAAAATTGGCAAAGTTCCCATGAATTTTTTTGCAAGAGATTTTGTGCTCTTTATCACTGGGCCTTAACTGACTTCAGCTGATAACAGTATTAACATGGACTTCAAATGTTAGATATCTACATATTTTCCTATCTACATTATTAAGGTGCAATTCACAGGATTCGTGAGGGGGGGGAGGTCCTAATAAAAGTTTAATATATTTTTCAGTTGCCCGTCTGTCTACAAATAAGTTTAAGTTACCATTAAAGCAAGGTTCTTTAATAACGTTGGTTACTCTCGATGCGCTCCAATGTACGGAAAATGTCGTCTCCTTAGCATAGATAGATAGAATCCGTAGTTGACGTCACTCTTGCCTCTATAATCGGTGACGTAATAGGTGGATTCTATCTATCTTGCATGCAACATTTTCCCTACAAATTGGATCGCATTGAGAGTAACCAACCATATTATACAACCTTGCTTTCAAGGGTCTGTAAACGTAATTTCAAATGTGTATTGTACATGGTTTAAATTATTTATCATCATTGCTAAAATAACTTAAAGAATAACTAACTAAACTATGTACACTGTACAGGAATTAAGAAACATTAAATCATTGTTTTAAAAAACTACAAATCGTTGAAAACGTTGTTGTAAATTTAATTTAAAACATCTTTTATTTTATTTATTTATTTAGTTTATTAAGTTCATGCACACTAATTATAATTTATAACTTAAAATAATCGACTTTTAGATTTCTTTATCTCTTTTCTAGTTGATTTTAATTCAAATGATAAAATTTGGAACTTTAAAATATTAAATTAAGATTTTTTTCCATAATAACTTTTGGTACGGCCTTGCAGCCTTTTAACATTTATAATTTTTTATGATTTCTTTTTGCAAACAAGAGTGAAAAGATTTAAAAAAATAAAGCATTTTCCCCGTGTTAATAATTCAAAACAAGAAGTTGTCTTTAAAATCATACAAACTAAAATGAAATTTCTTTTTGCTGCGTTGAAAAAAATGCCAAATATTATCATGACGGATGATGCAATTATAAACTAAGCCCTGTACACCAGTACAAGGTAATATAACACAAGTGGATTCACGGTTAGTAAACTGTACACTGTACAAGGGAGTCCATACTATCATGACGAAGAAAATGAACAGCCTTTGTGGGTTTTTTTTGGCTGCAAGGCCTAGAGAACAAGAAAACCGCATTTTTTATCTAATGGCCTAATTAATGTATAATTTTACAACTTTTTGAAATTATCAACAGATTTGAATTTTTTGTAAAATTAGAAAAAATATGTGTAGATATTTCGCAACCTCTTTTTATTTTTGGGTCTCTAGGCAGTGATTTTGTTGTCTTAAAACAAATGTCAACTTTGCCTTATGAGATATCATCAGCTGGAATTTTTTTTTGTCTACATGCCTTGTAGCCTTTGACCCCCAAGGGTTCTATCTTTTTTTTTATCATCAGAAAGTATGACCTACTTTACAGGGTACATGCCACATGAATCCTCTTTAAATAGGAAAATTTGAATTTTATTTCAACTTACAGGTTGCTCGAAAAGGGAGAGCTGAAATGAAAATATCAGAAAAACTAATTTTTCTCTCGAAACAACTAAAATTTTAAAAGTAATTTTTCTTTATACAGTTTTAAATATCTCTTCCTACCTGAAAAAAGTAACATTATAAGATTAGGTTTGGGTTAGGTTTACTATTTTCTTGTTACACTGCAGGTGAAGGGGTATGTAGTGTGTACTGTGTAGTGATAATACTAAATACCGTGTGTAGTGCAAATTCTGTATTTTTTGTTTACTATTTGTTTTGTTGTATAAAAAGGTTTTTAAACTTGAAAAATGTCATCAAACATAAAGTAATCCCCACAAACTATTGAATACAACGACGACTTTAGACTAAGTTTAGTTAAATATTCCGACGAACATGAGACAGAGACTTAATTTAATTGATAAGTTGATTTTTAAGATATTGGTGAAACTATTTGCTTTATGACAACGTACATCAAATACAGTAAATTTTCTTAAATATCTTTTACTGTTTTATGAAAACCAATGTATGTAAAACACAGAAATCACAGATAGGATTGGAGATGTCGTCTTTTCTATTGTAATATTTTTTAATAATAACCTTGTGCCGCTCAATCTCTCTCCCAACATTGAGCTAAAATTGGCTCAATAAACCGAGTCAAGTATTTCTAAGGGTTCATAAGTACGCAAATGCGTACGATTTATGCAATATCTGTCCTATCTGGGATATTTGGGGCGTAAACAAACTCCAAGCTTTTGTGTACATATAAATCCCAAAGTTTTGTGTAACATGTACATGTACAAACATAGATCCGTCATCTCCCCGTCCCACTGTACAATATACATGTATATTGTATACATTAGTAGTTAGAAACTTGTTGGATGATTGTCGTCTCCATTTTTCTTTTAATTTAAAATATCCCGGAGAATTTTGAAATCTAAAGCTGTATTGCATAAAGCTGTAAAAATAATCAGTTAAAATTGGAAAATCTTTTGAAAAATTTTGTTTCTTGCATGAAAAACTAAGACTCCAATGATTCCAGTGTTTTCTGTTTACCACTGTAGTATAAACCTACCCTAGAAGAACTAGTCAAACTTTCACAGAAGGATTTCTGAACACAATTTTTATTATCTACAGGGAGAACCAAAAAACATGGGAATTATCTTTCAACGCTTTTTCACTCTGTTAAATTCAGGTAGCTTAAGTGTTCTCAACTTCTCAATGGTAAACAGTTTTTTTTATTTATTTTCTTCATTCATCATGCGTAAACAACCCATTTTGGTTTTTTCCTTGTTAAAAAATTTATTTGATTCTCTCTCAAAATCATTAATTAAAACGGTCGTTTAGTAAAATCGCTCATTCAATAAAATATTTATTTCAGAAAAATACGTGTGTGTTTTAAGAAAATTGCTCGTTCAGTAAAAAAATCTGTCTTTTAAATTGATTCGGAATCGCTCTGAAAATTCGTTTGCTCATTAAAAACGATCGCTTTTTAAAGTTCGGTCGAACGAAAGATTTGTAAATCGTTCATTAACTATCTAGAATGTTTTGAACGCTTTTAAATCGTTCGTTTTTTCGTTAGTTAAAAAAATAGTTTTTTTCATTTCTCTGAACGGTTCAAGTTGTTCGCCCATTATTAGTTTTTTTTACACCATCATTTACGAAAAATTTTGTTCGTTCACAAGAATGATACCCATCTCTACCATCTCTACTGCAGGTAAATAAACCGTTAAGTATTTCAGATGTATTTATTAAAAATCGACATCATGCATCCATTCCTCACAGAATTGATTCGCCTTTTTTTACTTTTGAATAAATTTTAAAAAGTGTTTATTTCTCATGTTTATTGAACCTCCCTGTGTTCTGCACATAAACACACAGTACACAGTACTCACACCTATAGTTTGTTACAAGGTGGGAAAAACTAAGGTTGGAGGAAAGGGTTTGTTTAGTCATTTTGCTCTTATTTGTTAGAACTGCTAGCAACTGGTTTATATTAGTTTGGAAACAAAATTTGAATTTGTGTGGGCGGTGTTGCAACAGGGAAACATAGTTTTTTAATTGATTTTATTTTACAAAAAGCAAGTTTTTCTAACATTTCATAAGAGATTGTTAATATACATTTAAACAAACCCTACCCCCTCTACCTCAGTTCTATGTAATTTTGATAGTTGCAATGATTTTGAAGGGATCTGGTGGAATAAACCTCAGGACACATTATCTCAAATTTATGTATCCAGAAGGTAGGAACATATAAAGTTACTTAACTACCTTCTTAGAGAGAGCTTTCTTCCTCCTGGTGATTAGAAGCATGTCATCGAACAGGATTATAAACATCTCCAAGGACTTACCAGAGTCAACCATGGACAATGGTCCCTCCATCAAGATTTGTCTGAAATAAAACAAATCTTCAAAATAATAAAAAAATATTATTATTATGGCCGAAATATCTGAAATATGCTTTGAACAAGTTTATTCTTTTTTTTGTTGAGTTTTTTGCTACCGAGCTGTGGACTTTTAATCATAAATTATCTTTAGTTAAATCACCAGGTTTTAAACTTAATTAATAACCCAGAAAAAGATTATTTTAGTAAAAATGTTTAATAAAGCTTAAATCTCAAATATATTACCTTCTAGGGCTCACGATTAATCGCTCGCAGGGCTGCTTGGCGAGAGCGCTTTTCAGAAAATCAGGGAAAAACTGAAAAAATAATACAAATTAAAAAGAAACCGGCTTTCTTGAAAAAAGTTGGTTAACAATAAATTTTATTGGATGTAATGAACAATTCCATTAAATAGATTTGGTGAACAATTCCTTTAAATGGGTGTAATGAAGAATTCCATTAAACAGATTTGGTAAGCAATTCCTTTAAATGGGTAATAAACAATTCCATTACATACATAAATGGATTTAATGAACAATTCCATAAACATATTTTGTGAATAATTCCATTAAATGTATTAAGTAATCAATCCCTTTAAATGGATTTAGTGAGTAATCCCTTCAAATGGATTTAGTAAGTAATCCCTTTAAATGGATTTAATGAGTAATCCCTTTAAATGGATTTAGTGAGTAATCCCTTTAAATGGATTTAGTGAGTAATCCCTTTAAATGGATTTAGTGAGTATTCCCTTTAAGTGTATTTAGTGAGTAATCCCTTTAAATAGATTTAGTGAGTAATCCCTTTAAATGTATTTAGTAAGTAATCCCTTTAAATGTATTAAGTAAGTAATCCCTTTAAATGGATTTAGTGAGTAATCCCTTTAAATAGATTAAATAAGTAATCCCTTTAAATGGATTTAGTGAGTAATCCCTTTAAATGGATTTAGTGAGTAATCCCTTTAAATAGATTTAATAAGTAATCCCTTTAAATGGATTTAGTGAGTTATCCCTTTAAATGGATTTAGTGAGTAATCCCTTTAAATGGATTTAGTGAGTAATCCCTTTAAATGTATTTAGTGAGTAATCCCTTTAAATAGATTTAGTGAGTAATCCCTTTAAATGGATTTAGTGAGTAATCCCTTTAAATGGATTTAGTGAGTAATCCCTTAAAATGGATTTAGTGAGTAATCCCTTTAAATGGATTTCGTGAGTAATCCCTTTAAATAGACAAGGTAAATATCGACCTGTTTAGGTTCTAGCTCCATGACTGGTGGCCAGACTAGATTCCGCTGGATTTCAAGCAATCTTTCAAAATTTTTCAACCATTTCATCTTATCATCCAGCTCACCTGTACACATTATGTATTTTTAAATAGATGAGAATTTCATGAATATCACTCATTTTATACTTTTTTTGTGAAGATTACAAAATAGTTGATCTTGTGTATCATTTATTTTCAAATATCGCCTTTATTCTTTTGTAAATAAAATCTTTAAATAATTCATTGGGATTATTTTTTGCTAAAATATTATTGTCGCTTTCGTAGTAATTTGACCCTTCTTACTGTTTAACCTTTTGATGTTGTGAGATTTAGCCTTTTTCATTGTTTCATCTTTCACCTTGTGGTCGATGTGACATTTTTGTCCATTTGGTCCCGTTGAGAATTAGACAATCCACTCTGTAAACTTGAATCAAATCGTTTTGACACTTTTTTGTATTCTTATACAATACACATTCCCCTTAAGAACCAAAATCTTGATGTGCAACTTTTCGCAAGGTTGCCAATTAGCGCTTCAAAATTAGATTATTTTATGATGTTCTCAAAACAAGAATTATTAACATTTTAATGCGCATCATTAATTATCACCACTGATAAAAATTCTCTTATTATGCAACTTGTTGTGTTATCATGTGGGACAATATGTTTTTTTGCCGGGACTTACTTTTTTGCTTCTTACAGGTTTAAATTCATGTTTTTTAATCCCGAATGTTGTATGGGATTTTTTAAAACCCAAAATCATGAAAAATGCGGGATAAAATTCTCTCCAGCACGATGCATGTTATATCACTGTAAAAAAATAAGAAAATATTATATTAAATAAAAATAAAACTTACGTAAAGATAATTCCTTGAGTTGGAGTATCTTACTAATTGTCGCTTTCTCCTAAAATTATTATAAAAAATAATCATAATAGCTTAAACTTTAGATGATAATAATAATGATGATAAATGGATAATAATAAGAATGTGAGAATAAATAATAATGCTGGTACAGTGGGGCCCATTATGATTAGGAAGACGACATTTAATCAATCTGTGTATATGCTGAGTTTCATGTTCACTGAACAAATAGTAACTTATGTCTAAAAATTAAGATCCTATTCCAAAAAAATCTCATTGTAGTAATTTTTTATTTCTATCTAAAAAAATTTGAAAATTTGGATCCTCTAGAAAGCTTGTAGGTAACTTATACAGTGAAGACAAGGAAGTAAATGGACCAAACTTGATTAAAAATTGCAACATAAAAAATATAAATGTATCTCAAAATTTCTCTTTTAACCTGGGAATCTTCTGTTCTTGCTTCTATCTCTTTAAGAACTAGAGGCATCTAAACACGGTAAAATGTATTAATTTATATTATTAGTAGATCTTCAGTTTTTAAGAGAAAATACATTTTTTGTTCGATAAAAAACAATTAATCTGAAAAAACTTGAAATTAATTGTCATAAAACTCAGATTCATTAGCAAAATCTTTTCCAAAAACGATCGTTTTTTGTTAAAAAAACGATAGTTTTTAAAGAGACGATCAATTTTTAAAACGATCATTTTTTCGTTTTTTACAATTCAAAACGAGTGGTTCATTTTCAAAAATGATAGTTTTTAGAAGAAAAACGAAAAGATAGTTTTAGAAAAAAATTAAAACTAAACGAACAACGATCGTTTTTCGATCGTTTTTTTAAAACGATCAACAACAACTTTAGCCTCAGTATCCAATTTATGTTAAACCAAGAGTCCCTTTAAATGTAAAATATAAATTTGTGAAGACAATTTATGACTAAATTCATTTCATACCAAGAAAACTTTCAAATCGCTATATCTTTGCAACCTGATGGTGTTAACCTTTGATATTTCAAACTATTATTATTTGATCTAAAATAATTCATAGTTTGAAATATCTAAGGTCTCTGACATTGAAATGCAAAGATATAGGGAAAAGAAAATCAGAGTTTGTGACAAAATCTCAATTCCTTTGTCGCCAAATTATATTTTATACAATGTTGATAACTCCTACCTTCATGATATGATGAACAGGTGAAACTAAAAGATCTGTTAATTGAAGTTTTTTACACCTGGGATCTTTATTGCACCACTGAAACAATATCAACATAATAATTTATTCAAGATGGCGAATGTACATTTTAAAATTAGATATTTTACAAACTAAGCTATATAAACGATTCTTTAAAAGGTTTCAATTCTTTGCTGTAAAATGTTTTTAAAAAATAAAAGTTCTTGATTATTATTCAAAATCTATTTGAATATAATCTTTCCACTCCCCTCTCCCCTTTCAACTTCTTTCTCCAAAAATTAATTTGAATTTAGTTGGAAAAAACCTGAATTATCACTTAAACTTAAAGAACACTCTGTCAACATCATCTTTTTAGCTTAAAATTTGATGAAATTAGAGACCGGGTTTCCCCCCCCCCCCCTCCCTCAGCGATAAAAATCAAGTTTAAAGAGAACCTTCTCGAATTCTCTGAACTCTGGTTGTCTGCGCAGTGTATCAAGGTAGTTTAACGCGTTAATGTAGTTCAGCGCATATCTGTGGAATGCCTAAAAAGTATGTTTTATTATTGTAAAGGGTGGTGAAAAAACACTCTATACACTTTACACTTTTTTCTCTCATAGGCTTGATAATTATCCCATCATAATAAAACTTATGTTACAGTGTCTTATATTTGGACTTCAAGGAGTTAACAAATTATCGTATTTTGTTAACCTTGCTCTGAATAGATGCACTATATCTCTTGGGCTGGTGTGGGATTTCCTATTCTCGCCACACTGCTTCAGATCATAGAGATTTTTACATTTCCTTGCAAGCTTTTTTTTTTTTACCATGACCAAAATATTAAATTTCGTGGTTATTGTCAAGTGTAAGCCAAACTTTTAATTAAACTATTGTTGACAGCATGAGAGGCTGGCACAGTGGCTGTTTACGGTTTGTCCTGCCAGCAAACTGAGTCCTCATGGACCAGGATAGAGTGGGTTTACACTAGGAAAAGCTCTGGGATAGTTAGGTACAGTCCTTCTTGCAATAAAATATGGTCACATCATCAGTAATATTCCCCAGCAGCTGTTCTGTATTTACCTGGAAATGGGGGGTTATAGCAGTATCCTCTAAATTGGTGTCTGGTCTAATTAGCTACACTCTGAACTTTAAGTCTGGTAACTTACTAATTAGAGCTTAGAAGGCTTATATTGAATACTTTAAAAGAGATTCTTGTCATTTACAAACTGGATTTGGACCTCCTTTAACTTTATAAATGTTTTTTTGCGGGTTGGCTGATCAGTTCCATCCTCTAGAGATAAAGAGAATTTATTCAGAGCAGAGTTAACCAAATTAGATAATTTTTAAACCATGTAATCCTAACATCCTAGAGACATTNAAACCAGAAAAGCAGAAAACTAGAAAACCAGAAAACCAGAAACCAGAAACCAGAAACCAGAAACCAGAAAACCAGAAAACCAGAAAATCAGAAAACCAGAAAACCAAAAAACCAGAAAACCAGAAAACCAAAAAACCAGAATACCAGAAAACCAAAAAACCAGAAAACCAGAAAACCAGAAAATCAGAAAACCAGAAAACCAGAAAACCAGAGAACCAGAAAACCAGAAAACCAGAATACCAGAAAACCAGAAAACCAGAAACCATAAAACCAGAAACCAGAAAACCAGAAAACCAGAAAACCAGAATACCAGAAAACCAAAAAACCAGAAACCAGAAACCAGAAACCAGAAACCAGAAACCAGAAACCAGAAACCAGAAAACAAGAAAACCAGAAAACCAGAAAACCAGAAAACCAGAATACCAGAAACCAGAAAACTAAAAAACCTTGTTGACAAGCTTTTTTCGAATTACAAGTTTACATGTAATCAAAGAGAAGATTTTTTAATTAATAAATTCTCTTGACTTCTATGTTTCTGTGTATCCATGCTGTTTAACAGCTTAATTTATATCTAAATTAAATTCTAAAGTCGTCTTCATTGTATTTATTTAATCGCCTACCACTGTAGTACATAATGTCGATACATATATTTTGTAATTTGTAAGTAACACTTTTCTATGATAATAATGACACATTTTACCACCGCAGGAAAGGGCGGAAATTTATATCACCTTAGAAACCGAAAGAGCTTTAGTGCTATGTTGAAATATAACAGAGAGGATTTCCACAACAGGTAAATCTCCTGGAATAAAGACGACATTTAAGCTTGGCAGACAATGTTCTACTTGTTATAAAGACGACATTTAAATTTTGTTCTACGTTCTACAAAAGACAACTTTGATCTATATTATTTCTAAAATCTCATGTATTTCGAGTCTGTCTGTAAAATAAAGATATATTCATGCTATCCTGATTCACCATAATCTGATTAAAAACCAATAAACAAAATAAAAAGATTGAGAATATATATTTACATTAATTAGGAAAATAATCTGTAAGAAATGAAGGGATTTCTCATTTGCAATACAGTCTTCCCTCCTCCCTCAATAAACTCAAGTAAAAAAACTGTTATGAAAAAAATAGAAATAAAGCTTTTACTAATTGTAGTAAAATCCGAATACCCAAAAAAGAGGAGGGTCCTCGCGGCCGGGTCGATGTAATCATATGAAAAACATTTCCCCCTGATAATAATTAAGATAACTTTACCTTCAGGGGTTATTCGATCAATTAAAAGATTAATAAATTCTTTACAGAAAGCGTAGGTCACCTGCAATAAAAAAGATGTAATGGAATTTGTCTTGTTGACAGATTATCTTGCACAACCCATTTCTTTCACCATTTTATAGGCTTTTGTGGCTAGAGATGGGCGCGTTCGGTTTTTTTCATTTCCTTCGTTCATCTTTGGTGAATGTCCCATTTTGTTTAATTTTTTTTAATCATTCAAAATAATTTATTTATTTCATTCTCAAAATTGTTGTTAATTTTCCATCTTTTTCGTTTTTTTTTAACTGAACAATTAAAAAATAGTTCGTTTAATAAAATTGCTTGTTCAGTAAAAAAAAGTTTTTTCCAAATCTTTTGGAAAAGTCGTTCTTTCAATAAAAAAATAAAAGAAATCGTCCATGAACTACTAAGATTGTTCAAACAATTATAAAACGTTCTTTTTTTCGTTCGTTTTGGAAACTCCTTTGAACGATCTAAGTTGTTCTTCCATCGTTTATCTTAGCGACACAATAATGCACGAAACATTTGTTTGTTTAAACATAAAATGACCATCTCTATTTGTGACTTATTGATAGATGCTATATTTTAACTTACACAGCAAAGTTCATCCAGGTTACCGAATAGTACTTCAGGTTCAGCACACATCACAAACCCTTCAACCTGAACCTTCTTTAGAGGTTCCAAGAACACCTAAACAAAAAGAGTATTTTGTTTTTATAATCATAATTATACTAGAACAAAAATATTGGCAAAGTAAATTAAAAACTCCTGTTTATTTGAAGTAGGCAGCTAGATCATGTCATGTGCAGTGTACACTATACGGTACACACACACGTGACAGTAAATCAAATGAATCATCCCCTACTTTAATATAAGGTCAATTAAAAATCTTTTTTTATTTTTGAAAACGAATAACAGATTTGGAAAACTAATACCAGATTTGAAAACTAATTACAGATTTGGAAAACGAATACCAGATTTGGAAACTACTAACAGATTTGGAAAACTAATACCAGATTTGGAAAACTAATACCAGACTTGGAAAACTAATACCAGATTTGAAAACTAATTACAGATTTGGAATATTAATAACTGATTTGGAAAACTAATAGCAGATTTGGAAAAAAGGTATAAAAAAGTCTACGCGATCTTAAAAATAGTAGAACTACTTAGCTATACCCTAATAGTTTAATTTAAATGTCTGATTCTTTGTGTCGTGGCAACCTTTGATATTTTAAATGCTGACTACTTCTAGTCGAATATATACTTCTAGTCGAATATATACTTCTAGTCGAATATATACTTCTAGTCAAATATATACTTCTAGTCGAATTCATATGATTGAAATATAAAAGTTGTATGGCCAAAAAAAGATATAGACAACCCTGAGTCATCAAATTTCTATACAGCCTCAACTTTGAAGTGTCGCAACACCTTGGCCAAGTTTTACTTTGCCAACTTACTCATTTTTCTAGGTCTAGACATATTTATTTTAAAAAAGCTACAAGTGTGTTTCTAGCTTAAGTTTAAACGGAGTAGTTGGCAAAATATTGCTCGATTTTTTATGTGAGAGTGTACACATCTTGATTGTCAGTGTGCCATCATGCATCAGGTTGTAAAGTAGAGTTTAAGGCATGTAATCAGTTCCCTTTTCAAGCATTGCAATTATATTCCAAAAAGTGCAATCTCATAGATAAATAATTAATACAGTTTACACCTTTTCTCAACCTCTTAATGAGAATTTGTTTCGCAAAATTGCGCAAAACTGAATAACGCAAAAGTGGAATAGCGCAATTTTACGCGAAACGAAGTTTGCTAATAATTATCCAAAGTGCTATTTTTCGCGCAAAAATGTAGCGCGACAAAAGTAAATATTTACGCTTTCTTTCGCAAAAAATGAGTAAAAGTTTTGCAAATGGAAACCCTAATCATGGTCAAATGATAAAGCTTACATTTTTAAGAGCCATGAGATGATGCCGTAGGAAAGCAGATTCTGATTGAAAAAGATCCCAAACTGCTTCTTTTCTTTTCATATTCTGACTTAATCTTAATTCAACCTAAATGTATAATAGTGATGATTATGATGTTTTAAAGATAAAGATGTTGATGCTTTCAATGATAAAGATGTTGATGCTCTTAATGATAAAGATGATGATGTTTTTAATGATATAGATGTTGATGATCTGAATGATATAGATGTTGATGATTTTAATGATATATATATGTTAACGATTATAATGATAAAAATGTTGATGCTTTTAATGATAAAGACGTTGATGCTCTTAATGATAAAGATGATGATGTTTTTTAATGATAAAGATGTTTATGTTTTTAATAATAAAGATGTTGATGCTTTTAATGATAAAGATGTTGATGTTTTTAATTAAAAAGATGTTGATGATTTTAATGATATATATGTTGATGATTTTAATGATACATATATATTAACAGTTATAATGATAAAGATGTTGATGCTTTTAATGATAAAGACGTTGATGCTCTTAATGATAAAGATGATGATGTTTTTAATGATAAAGATGTTAATGTTTTTAATGATAAAGATGTTGATGCTTATAATGATAAAGATGTTGATGCTTTTAATGATAAATATGTTGATGCTTTTAATGATATCGATGGTGATGCTTTTAATGATATAGATGTTGATGATTTTAATGATATATATGTTAACGATTTTAATGATAAAGATGTTGATGCTATTAATGATATAGATGTTGATGATATTATAATGATATAGATGTTGATGAGATTAATGATGAAAACTATGATTGTAAGATAGTTATTTTTGTATAATGATGATGATGATGATGATGATGATAATGATGATAATTTTGATGATGATGATGACGATGATGATGATGATGATGTTGATACTGATGATGATGATGATGATACCTCAGGGAATGAGAAGACCCCGTGTTGAATGGGAGGGGAACAAGGGCTGGAGGGACACCTAAACATTTTAAATTTGTATTTTTAAGGAAATTCATGGTAGAAGAGAAAAAAAATAATTTGTATTAACAAGTTCATTATTTTATTAATATTATGATTTAATGTCCTTTGTGCACCTTGCATAATAAGAATACTAATAAACTAAAGATGCGAGGTTTAAAGACGAAATAAAGTGACATCAAAGATTTTCCATTTCAACTTTATTATTGTGTTTATATAAAGTGAATTTTAAGTAATTATCTATATAAATTATTATTGGAAAGTAAAAAAAACAAATTCAAAAATGTAAAAATGTAAATGGAAAAAAAGCTGTTTGATATCATGATATTCGTTTGCAGCCTTTTAGAGGCCATAAAGATACCTTGCAGCCTTTTGCATAGCAGCTATGATATGTTTAATATCTCTGCAGCTCATTACAGAGCAGCTTAAATGTATTTAATATCTCTGCAGCCCATTACAGAGCAGCTAAAATATGTTTAATATGTTTGCAGCCCTTTACAGGGCAGCTAAAATATGTTTGCAGCCCTTTACAGGGCAGCTAAAATATGTTTAATATCTCTGCAGCCATTTACAGAGCAGCTAAAATGTTTTTAATATGTCTGCAGCCCTTTAAAGAGCAGCTAAAATATTTTTAATATGTCTGCAGCCCTTCACAGAGCAGCTAAAATATGTTTAATATCTCTGCAGCCCTTTACAGAGCAGCTAAACTATGTTTATTATCTGTGCAGCCCTTTACAGAGCAGCTAAAATATGTTTATTATCTGTGCAGCCCTTTACAGAGCAGCTAAAATATGTTTGTTTAGCTCTGCAGCCCATTACAGAGCAGCTAAAATATGTTTAATATGTTTGCAGCCCTTTACAGAGCAGCTAAAATATGTTTAATATCTCTGCAGCCCTTTACAGAGCAGCTAAAATGTTTTTAATATCTCTGCAGCCCTTTACAGAGCAGCTAAAATATGTTTAATATCTCTACAGCCCTTTACAGAGCAGCTAAAATATGTTTAGTATCTCTGCAGCCCTTTACAGAGCAGCTAAAATGTTTTTAATATGTCTGCAGCCCTTTTAAAGAGCAGCTAAAATATGTTTAATATGTCTGCAGCCCTTCACAGAGCAGCTAAAATCTGTTTATTATCTCTGCAGCCCTTTACAGAGCAGCTAAACTATGTTTAATATCTCTGCAGGGCAGATAAAGTATATATATAATACATTTGCAGTCCATTAAATTGTAATTGGCAGAAAGAATATATTTGTAGCCATTTAAAGGCCTGATAAAATATATTTAATATCTTTGTAGCCATTTATAGTGGGCAGATAGAATATATTTAATATCTTTGTAGCCATTTAGAGGCCCGATTTAATATATTTAATATCTTTGTAGTCATTTAGAGGCCTGATAAAATATATTTAATATCTTTGGAGCCATTTAGAGGCCTGATAAAATATATTTAATATCTTTGTAGCCATTTATAGTGGGCATATAGAATATATTTAATGTCTTTGTAGCCATTTAGAGGCCTGATAAAATATATTTAATATCTTTGTAGCCATTTATAGTGGGCAGATAGAATATATTTAATATCTTTGTAGCCATTTAGAGGCCTGATAGAATATTTTTAATATCTTTGTAGTCATTTAGAGGCCAGATAGAATATATTTTATATCTTTGTAACCGTTTAAAGGCCAGATAGAATATATTTAATATCTTTGTAGCCATTTAAAGGCCTGATAGAATATATTTGATACCTTTTACGTCCGTTAAAGAGCAGATAGAATATGTAGCCATTTAGAGAGGGCAGATAAAATATATGTAATAAACTTGCAGTCCATGAGAGGGAAGATAGAATATATGTAATAAACTTGCAGTCCATGAGAGGGCAGATAGAATATATGTAATAAACTTGCAGTCCATGAGAGGGTAGATAGCATATATATAATAAACTTGCAGTCCATGAGAGGGCAGATAGAATATATGTAATAAACTTGCAGTCCATGAGAGGATAGATAGAATATATGTAATAAACTTGCAGTCCATGAGAGGGCAGGATAGAATATATATAATAAACTTGCAGTCCATGAGAGGGAAGATAGAATATATGTAATAAACCTGCAGTCCATGAGAGGGCAGATAGAATATATGTAATAAACTTGCAGTCCATGAGAGGGCAGGATAGAGTAAATGTAATAAACTTGCAGTCCATGAAAGGGCAGATAGAATATATGTAATAAACTTGCAGTCATGAGAGAGCAGATGTAATATATGTAATAAACTTGCAGTCCATGAGAGGGCAGATAGAATATATGTAATAAACTTGCAGTCCAGGAGAGGGCAGATAGAATATATGCTATACCTTTGTAGACCTTTAGAGGCCAGATAACTTGAGAAATCCACAGAGCTATCACTGGATGTGTCATGAGAAGCTTTTCTTTGTGAGTTGTCCACTAGGTCAGGTAGATGTGGGGTGACCTGCCTATGGTTTAGGTAGGGGGAGGTTGACCTGCTCAGGCTAGGGGATACAGAACAGTCTGATAGCAAGCTTCCAGTCCCTTGGAAATGATTTTTTTAATCCAGAGTACAATCCCTTCCCAAATCGACCTTTCTCGTAGATTTTGTATTACACAATAAGACTTGTGTCTCTCGTTATGTACACACTACAATTAATATTTCAATCTACCTTGAAGGATGGATAATAGCGCCTTCATTGATAAAAAATGGAAATGAAAACGATACATTGTTGACACATTGTTTACTTAATTACACATTTACTATTCATTTTATTAGCTTACTCTTTTACTCATGAACTTACTCTATCACTTATTAACTTACTCAATTACTTATTAACTTACTCTATTACTTGTTAACTTACTCTATTATTTTTTAACTTATTCTATTACTTATTAACTTACTGTATAACTTATTAACTTACTCTTTTACTTATTGACTTACTCTTTTACTTTTAACATACTCTTTTACTTATTAACTTACTCTATTAATTTTTAACTTACTCTATTAACTTACTGTATTCATTATTAACTTACTCTTTTACTTATTAACTTACTCTTTTACTTATTAATAAACTCTGTTACTTATTAACTTACTCTAATACTTTTTAATATACTCTTTTACTTATTAACTTACTCTTTTACTTATTAATATACTCTGTTACTTATTAACTTACTCTATTACTTATTAACTTACTCTATTACTTATTAATATACTCTGTTACTTATTAACTTACTCTTTTACTTATTAACATACTCTATTACTTATTAACTGTATTGATACTCTTTTACTTATTAATATACTCTATTACTTATTAACTCTATTTATACTCTTTTACTTATTAATATACTCTATTACTTATTAACTCTATTTATACTCTTTTACTTATTAATATACTCTATTACTTATTACTCTATTTATACTCTTTTACTTATTAATATACTCTATTACTTATTAACTCTATTTATAATCTTTTACTTTTTAATATACTCTATTACGTATTAACTCTATTTATACTCTTTTACTTATTAATATACTCTATTACTTATTAACTCTATTTATACTCTTTTACTTATTAATATACTCTATTAATTATTAATCTATTTATACTCTTTTACTTATTAATATACTCTTTTACTTTTTAATATACTCTATTTACCTTGAAAATCAGTGAGTACGTGGGAGTCCTCTACTCCATAGGCGCTCAAAAAATCCTTAACAGTGTTCACACATTTTCGTTCAATCTCTTTCGCGAAATTTTCGTTCAACCAACGAAAAAGGAAACGAAAAGGAACATTTTTGTTTGCTTATATAGTTACAATAGCCAAACAATAAATTACACATCTTTTAAGTATAAAAGAGCTTACACAAAAAGTTATCAAACATTTTAAAAAAATCAATACGTTAAATTAGAGAAGTTTTAAAAGAAAGTTATATTAGAAAAGGGAAAAAAGGGAAAAATTACCCCCCTGGGATTCTATAAAATCAGTGCCCCTGATCTTTTAACTTATACCTTTTGTGCTGGATCTACTAAATCTTCTCTTGTCTCTTCTAATCTTGGACAAACTGTCTTTGGTAGGACAGAGTTCTAAACATATTAATCTTAAACAAACTTTCTTTGGTATAGTACTAGTACTTGTACTACTACTACTAGTACTTCTACTACTAGTACTACTAGTACAACTAGTACTTCTACTACTAGTACTACTACTAGTACTACTACTAGTACTACTACTTGTACTACTACTACTACTAGTACTACTACTACTAGTACTACTACTAGTACTACTACTTGTACACTACTACTAGTACTTCTACTACTAGTACTAATACTAGTACTACTACTTGTACTACTACTACTAGTACTACTACTAGTACTACTACTACTACTAGTACTACTACTAGTACTTCTACTACTAGTACTACTACTAGTACTACTACTTGTACTACTACTACTACTAGTACTTCTACTACTAGTACTACTACTAGTACTACTACTTGTACTTCTACTACTACTAGTACTACTACTAGCACTACTTGTACTACTACTACTACTAGTACTTCTACTACTAGTACTACTACTAGTACTACTACTTGTACTACTACTACTAGTACTTCTACTACTAGTACTACTACTAGTACTACTACTTGTACAACTACTACAACATTTCCAACAAAAAATTTGTTCAAACAGACTTATGTTTTTTCTTAAACAATTATAATTTATGGGCAAAATGGTGAAATTTTATTAATCTTGAACAAACTGTCTTTGGTAAACATATTAATCTTGAACAAACTTTCTTTGGTAAACATATTAATCTTGGACAAACTGTCTTTGGTAAACATCATAATCGTGGACAAATTGTCTTTGATGTAAGACATAGTGTTAAACAACGTGTAAAATCATTTAAAATGCTGCTTTTGTAAGAATTAAAATAATTTCGAATAATTTTTATCAGAATCAGTTAAAAAAGAACTATTTTATTAAATTAGAACTGATTAAAAAAAAATAAAATGTAAATTACCCTCCTCACTCCTAATTTTCTTCCTCCTTCTCTCTCATGTCTAATATATTCTACAAAATCTACCCATGAGAACAGAGCAACCTTGTCCAGCTGAGAGTCCTGAAAAGAATAACTATACAGTGAGAACCAAAAAATAGTTAAATTCTCGTCATCTTATTAATCCTTAAACTAACAAATATATGTGCGTGCAAATTAATTCTAAAAATTTTACTGATCATTTTTTTGAGATATTTTTCAGTTGCAACATTTCATATTTACAATGGTGCCCTTAAAATCTTTGTTTGGTTTTTTTTATTTTTGTAAATTTTCTACAAAAGTGCCCTTTGCATTTCTTGCTTATCAGAATCAATGAAGAATTTCACGGAAATAAAGATTTTTTGAGTTTGAAAAACGACGTTATCTTCTACAGTTTTGATCCGATTAAGATTTCAATTGAACCGTTGTAAATCAGGTATTGCTATATTTGCACGGAGAGTTGATTAAATTACGCTTACAGTCCCTTGATTCAGCTAGCACTATTATTAACATTATTATTTACTATATAATTAACATGATCATCAACACAATTACAAACTATTTAAAGATTGTGTTTGATCTGTTCTCAGGATGACAGTTTTTCTTTCAAGATTACTGCAGATGACAAACCTTGATTGCTGGATTTTTTAATATGAGATATTGTTTAGATTGTTTGGAAAACGTTATGAAATCAGAATGAAAATGACTCGGAAAAATCTTCATTGATAAGATTTCTTTAAGTGCTTCTTATTAAAAAGAAGAATTAATTTCAATTTCCCGTGTTTTTGTCTAACAAAAAATAGTATATTAATTTTTAAATGGTTTTTGCACCTTTTCAACCTCGTATCTACATATATAAAGAAGTTATCTCTGTTTGTTTGTTTTTATGTTCGATTATAACTCATGAACCCCTGGGCCAAATTTGTCTCAAATTTTGATTTTGGAACTCGGTAGAACCACGGGGATGGTCCTAGCTAGGTTTAAAGTTCTTATTTAAATAGGTTGACAATTATAAAGAATACTTTGTTTTAAGGCAAAACTGGGTTCTCAAACTAGTAAAAGATATTGTTGCTCTTTTTCAAAATACACATAATATAATATAATACCCATTTATTATAATTTAAGATCAAAACTAAGTACTAAAACTAAGTACAATCTAGCGGGGGCATGTCAAAAAAGCTTAGTCAGGGGTTCACTTAGAGGAACAAGCATGTATGGTGAATTTTGTGGATTTTTTCGTTGATTTGGACAAAACATTCAACTGAAAGATTGACGATTTGATCTAACAGAATAAATAGTTAGAAATATTTTGATATCTAGATATTTAGATATTTAGATGTTTAGATATTTAGTTATTAAGATATCTAGATATTTAGATATTTAGTTATTAAGATATCTAGATATTTAGATATCTAGATATTTAGATTTTACAGATTTTTACCTTAAATTCTGATGGAACTGTATTATTGAGAACACTTTCTAAACTGGCTCCGTCCGTTTTAGTCTTTTTTTCTCGATCAAACTTAAAAATATTTTTTTTGCTAAAATCGACAAAAACCTTTTTTATTAAAGTACTTTTGCTTAAAAAAGCATTTGTAAATGGCAACAATGTAGTAAAAGAAAAATGATGCTCTTAGTAGTAAATTATTTGTATATAATCTTCTGAATCTGATAATGATAAATACGTTGTTTACTATTAAAAAGATAAGAATTATGAATTATGAATTATGTAATTTTAAGTATAGTAATATAAAGGAAAATGTAATTATTACCAACTTTAATAAATATAGTAATATAAAGGAAAATGTAATTATTACCAACTTTAATAAATATAGTAATATAAAAGAAAATGTAATTATTACCAACTTTAATAAATATAGCAATAATAAAGAAAATGTAATTATTACCAACTTCAATAAATTCCATGCTTTTCCTTTTCCCTTCCCATCTCCTAATAATACATTAATAATTAAACACTAAGAGAATCCTCTAAATTCTAAAGGCATTTTAAAAAGACTTTTGAATAATTTTAAGTGAACTTTCTTTTCAAGCATCCATTTAAGTAGAAATTATTTAGATTTACTTGTTTTACTCTCTGAAAATTAATAAAAAGACTTGCTGATTTAGCCAACAGAGCAAATTGTGAATCAGGCAACACTTCATAAATAAAAGGCAGCTTTAAATAAAAAAATGCTAAAATTTTCGTTGCGTTTTGTTTTCTCTAAATTTTGGCTTTTTGTTGAATTTTTGAAAAAATTAAATCCCTATTTTTTCTCAAAATTTTTAGCAAAAGCTGAATTAACGGAGGTTTTTCTGCGCAGTCATCTTAAAAGTTGAGGTTAACCCTGTAGATTTAATGAATGTTGCAGAATTGGTTAATAACCCCCCCCCCTTTTAATCTAACTTATCCAAATTCAATTTCTGAAATTGTATTCAACAATATGTGTATATATAACTATATATACTTTATATAGCCTACAGCAATCACTATACTACAGGGTGTCCCAATAAACAGGGAAATAAACAGACGACCTGGCAGTCATCTACTATTTCTCAAATTTGCTTCATGGCAAAGTATAAAAACAAGGCTGTGCATTTTACGAGCTTTACAAGAAGTGGTCTGTCTTTCTTGTGTTTTAAAATTTTAGAATTTTCAAGATCAGGCGTTTTCGAAATCAGTTGTTTTACTCCAATAATGTTTTAATAAAAAATGCAGCGTAAATCGAAGACATTATATTAGTCGTCACTCAATTCCCATGTTTATTGGGACACCCTGTAACATATATCTATATATGACTTGTTAATAACATACATCTAGCAAATTTTAAGACATTTCAAAATATCGTATTTTCTCTATAAAAAAAAATTTGCGGATTTATTCAACAGTTACAATGAAGGAAATTAGGAGAAAAACTATGAATGTACAAAATAAAAAATAAAAAATTGTGAAAAAAATAAAAAAATCGACCTGTTTCTGATATAAGGCTCTGTGTTGAACCATCCATATCTAAATCATGAAATTCAATCAAGTACTTTTGAATACTTTTTTTCTTTGAAAATATTTTGAATTTTACCTCCGTAGGCGTTAGCCTTGTGAGTTAAAACTCTTGAATACACGAGCAAATCACCAGGACATATCTATTAATACATGTGTCAGCAAAGGAACAGAAACTGTGTAGTATAAGACAACTACTGTTTCACATAGTTCGTTAATTTATAATATCATCTAAAACAACATAAATTTAGTCTTCGTATCTTAAAGTTTTACTAGCCCCACTTCAAACATTAAGAAAATGTTTCTTGTAATGCTCGAAACAACCAAAACAATGCCCGTCCACATACAAATTTAGAAAGATTTATGAAGAATTATATCTTTTTGTTTTAATTTTACTTTAAAAAATCCTTGACAGAAAAATTTAAGATTTGATAAGGCCCAACTAACCNTTCCCCATTCAATTACATTTTTATATCTTGTACTGGTTTAACGATGAATAGGGCTGGGCACGTTCCAACTTTTTCAAGCCATTTTGTTAACGGTTCCAACCGTTTTAAAAATAAATTCTCAGGTATCGATTAGGTTCAGAAGGTAAAAACAAAACTTTGTTTCGTTCACAGTATTTTCCGGTTTTTTAAAGTTACCATTAGTTAATGATCTCAATTTTATCAAATGCGTTAATGGAAAATTTTCAACAACCAATAACCTTTCCATTTGCTAACGGTATTGTTATAACAGAATTATTGGCGTTAATGGTCTATTACTGTAATAACAATCTAAAAACACCAAAAAAAGTTCAAGTTTAAGACAATCTTAACCAGAACAAAAAAACAAAATTAACTATTAAAAAGAATCTTTTACCTTTTCTTTTCCTATGGTTAATATTTTTTTCAAAAATGGCTAAACCCTATTGGAACGATTTAAAAATTAACAGTTTTTGTTGTTTGTTAACTGACTCTTCTGTTTATTTTCGAAAACCTTCAAATTGTTACAGGAACTTTGCCCAGCCCTGTTGATGAATACAAGTATAATGTATGCAGAACCAATTATTTTTCTTCTTTAATAACAAATATTAAGATAGAATTGTATAAAACAGGAATACCTGCATGGGAGGGATTACAACAATTGAGGACGACCTTTCAAGCTCATCATGGCGGCTAAAATTAAACAATTATCATGGCGGCTAAATTAAACAAATTCGGGAACTTTCCATGAATCCAAAAATACTGGAATAGTTTTTCTAGGGAAATGTTTAAAAAACTTTGCTCAAACTTAATAAATAAATTTCAAAAAAAAATTTTTCTTCAAATTTAAAATTTTTAACAATATTCTATAAATAGGTATATGATAGCAGATATAAATATTTTGACATTTCTATATTTTTTGTATTGCCAACTGCGAACTTTAGAACCAGGTTAAGGTGCCTCCTTATTCCTATTTTTCTACAGTACACCCATTAGATTTGACAGCAAATAAATTAGAACTGATTTAGCTACAAACAAACGCAAATTTCTGGTGTATTTTCTATTAGGCTGAAACAGAGGGGGGGGGGATGTCTCCCAGCCCATCTCCAATGTTGTCTTTGTTTCCTAACGGAATAAGTTGATAGTGTAAAGCTTTACATGGGAGAGTTTCTTTCCATTTTTCCTGTTTGATTTTCTTTTTTCTTCTTGTTTATTGTTTCTATGTTATGAGCCTCTCCAAATAATTCTTGCGACATCAAGTTGTGGATCAGGTAGGAAATAGATAAGGAAGTTTAGAGGAGGAAGGGTATGAGTGATTTCAGAAGAAGATCCCTGCTTTCCTTTGTGTAAAAGTGTTTCTGACTTAAGCAGAATTAAGGAAATCCATAACTGCACCACTTATACAAAGTGGAGAGTTAAAAGCCTTACTGCCCCATCAGGTGGAATCTTCCACAGTAATCCAGTCCTCACAGCCAGCCGAGTAAAAATCAGTATCATTGTGCATGGCTTGTATACCTAGCAGGGGTTATACTTTTGTATTCCCTTTTCAGCTGAGATGGAGTTCTTGTTTACTGTTAAATTCCTATGTTTGGCCACTCCCCTGTAGGATAAGGCATGAGCAACGTTACGCAGCACTCCTCCGAGTCGTGGAGCTGGGATCTGCTATGGGGAAAGGTCCATAACCCTCCAAGAGCAGAAAGCAACTGAAATCTCAAAATGAATAAATGCAACCTTTTTCAAATATAATCCACTTGAAAAAGATCAAACTAATTATTTTCAAAATTCAAAGTGGACTTAAGTAAAATAAGTACAATTTAGATGCTGTCAAAATTCCTATTTTGACTAAGTGTTTGGACCAAGCTAAATACGATTAGTTTTACATTATTAAAACCAATTCATAAAAATAACTTTTTAAAAATAAAAAAGATATATTAAAAATTCCTATATATCATCAAAATAGGTAAAATTCTTGTATTCATGGCAAAATGAATATTTTGAAGAAAAATTTCAATAATCATGATTCTGAAAACTTTTCATTGTGCAGATTTTCCAATTTAATTTAATTTTCTGCAGAAAATTGTACGATTCACTCATGTTGTTTATTTGAAAACAATTGATGTACAGACTACAGATGAATTAAAATAATTACAATGAAGTATATATATTCTGTCTGTATCGAAATATTTCTAGTCATATTTTCATCTTTAGATCAAAATCCGTCGGAAATATTAAACAAATATATAAAACATATATCAAATAAAAAAGTGTAAAATAGCAAAACAAAATATTTTTATTTGACGAATGGAATTGGCTGACTGACTTAATGACGAGAACCTATATATTTGTATGTTTATTGGGTGCTTTATTAACTTGAAAGATACAGGGGGAGTCAAAAAAAAGTGTGATTAGCGTCAAAATTGAAAGTGAAGAAAAACAAAAGTGTGATAATAGATAATTGCTATCCAATCTTAAAATTTCATTAAGATCTGTATGACCAATTGAGAGATATATTCATAAGAATCCCCAACATTTTAATGAAATAGATCCAATTTATTGTTCAGTTGAACATAAAAATAACACAGTTAACATTTGCACATTAATAAAAATGTCCTCTATTCTTTTGGTGCAATTTTTACCGCTCTAATTCTTAGATCTATTTATTGATAGCCTTGCTACGACAGGTAGATTTTTTGTGGTAATATGTGAATATCAAAAACATTAAAACAATATTCTAAAATATTGCAAAAATTCCATGCATAAGAAATTCATGAATTTTTTTTTGTAAAGACTACGCTAATCACACTTTTTTTTGACTCACCCTGTACTTAATGTATTTGTGTATTCAGTGTCCGAATTTAATGAATTTAAGCCGCGTCTCAAATATCCACCAAAAACCAGTTTAAATTTAGCGCCGGCTTAAATTTAAAAAAAAAAAAATTTAAGCCGGGGCTCAAATTCTTTAAATTCGGCCTCGGGGAGTTTAAAATGTTTTATGGGCTTTGTCTTATTAAAAAATATTTAAATCATGATTTCCATGAGAGATTTAGCCCCCCTGAAATATTTCCATGAGAGATTTAGCACCCCTGAAATATTTCCATGAGAGATTTAGCCCCCCCTGAAATATTTCCATGAGAGATTTAGCCCCCCTGAAATATTTCCATGAGAGATTTAGCCCCCCTGAAATATTTCCATGAGAGATTTAGCCCCCCTGAAATATTTCCATGAGAGATTTAGCCCCCCTGAAATATTTCTATGAGAGATTTAGCACCCTTGAAATATTTCCATGAGAGAATTAGCCCCCCTGAAATGTCAAAAAAGGCTTTAAGCCCCCCCCCCTGTATTGTATACGCAACTAAATAATGCTTTACATATGTACTTTCCACGTCAATCAGGATCTTTTAAATACATTATTCACCGTTTGGTTTGGTGTAAAAAAAAACCATGGCGGACTTTTCGAGGATTTTCGGGTGCTCCACGTGGGTACAATTACAAATCAATTATTTAAAACTACTTACACACTTGCAGAACTTTCCCGCCCACTGTTATCAGAGCCTAGAGAAAAAAAACAAAGAAATTTTTAAATTTAAAAAATTAATTTTTTGTTAATACAAATTAAAAATGTACCTGACACCAGCATCTTGGGCGGTACCAAAGCTCCCCGCCTCCCAGTCATCATTGAGGCTAGATCCTCCCCCTCTCCTTCAGTCTCACACTAAATTGTTAAAGGGCGTAACACAAGGGCGTACACAGAAATAAATCTAGATTAAATTAAGAAAATCTGGTTTAAATTTCAGGTAAATACAATTATTCAGTTTCAGACATTATAGTCCAATTACCTAGCAAATAAAAAACAAAAAATTGGATTTTTTCTTCAAATTCATTGACTTTTTTACTGAAAATGTTAAAAGAAATTTTTGAAAATTTGCATCTCAGCAGTCAGCTTTAAATTAAAATTCATGAAATTAAAATCTTTTAAAGGAATACAATTTTTTAAGTAAAAATTTAATAACGTAATTTTTTATATCAGACAAAATACGTGAATCTAAGATGAGTTAGTATCTGATGAGAATAGAAAAATAAGAATTCTTTTTTCTTTTGTTAAAAAGTCCAAATACCGCATTAAAATAGTTATTTTGTGATCTATTTTTAAGTGTAGGTGCGCACCGCGGATGCTTAATTTTTATTTAGAAAGCCAGATTTCTGTTTCTGCTTAAGGATAGAGGGGGGGGGGGAGAGAATTCGATTTGCCCTCCCCCTTCCTTTTTAAAATATGCCTTTATTTTTAAGTGGATTTTATTTCGGAGATTAATTTTTTTCCAACGTATTTTATCAGTGAAATGATAAATTAAAATACTTAAAAAACAGCTCAAAGCAACAAAAATTGGAATTTTCTTAACTCAACTTTGAGTATGCTGATGAACATTATTTTAAATCTTTAAACCTTAATCTAAACGATTGCTTCAAAAATGAAGAATATTTGGCTGATTTTTGTTATCGAAATTATTTCCTTGTGTCTTGAATTCGGATGTGATTTAATAAATCTTTTTAGATTAAGATTGACACAAAGGAGCATATAACTTCCCCGCCAAACAACTAGAATTTCCAAAAATATTGGCAACCTGATAGTGCACACACCTATCATATTTCAAATATTAGCAACCTAATAGTGCATACACCTATAATATTTCAAATATTAGCAACCTCATAGTGCACACACCTATAATATTTCAAATATTAGCAACCTCATAGTGCACACACCTATAATATTTCAAATATTAGCAACCTGATAGTGCACACACCTATAATATTTCAAATATTAGCAACCTCATAGTGCACACACCTATAATATTTCAAATATTAGCAACCTAATAGTGCACACACCTATGATATTTCAAATATTAGCAACCTAATAGTGCACACACCTATGATATTTCAAATATTTGCAACCTAATTGTGCACACACCTATGATATTTAAAATATTAGCAACCTAATGGTGCACACACCTATGATATTTCAAATATTAGCAACCTGATAGTGCACACACCTATGATATTTCAAAGAATAGCAACCTAATAGTGTACACACCTATGATATTTCAAATTGACTATTTGATCAAGCAGAATATATTAAATGTTTACAACATTAGATTTTAAGTTTGAGGCAAGTAATCAATTCCAATAAATTAAAAAAACCCTTTGTTTAAAATTTTTGATGGATATTCCAGTTATATTGGCACTGACCTCTGTATTTACATCTGTTTCATCTTCATCCTCTGCAGTCGGCATATTAGGGGAGGGTAGACTCATGTAGGCAGGACGGGATACACTAGATATATTATATATATTGGTAGGACGGGATACACTAGAAATATTATATATTATATATATGTAGGACGGGATACACCAGATATATTATATATATAGGTAGGACGGGATACACTAGATAGGGATGAAGTGAACTGGGCTCCTCTGTCACTGCAGGTACGCCAAACCTTGAGATCCATCCGTGGAACATGGTGGAGGCACACTCCGCCGCAGAAATCCCAGT